TTGGACAGTTTAAATTTCAAACACTTCTCCCATCCAATTGACACTCGACTGCAATGTAAGTTTCAAACAACGTGTCAAAAATCAGTGTACAAATAGTAAAGTTCAATCGGTATGAGCCTTGCTACGTATACACTTTGGTTTACACTTTATCACGTGACATTATTCTGTTGGACAGTTTAAATTTCAAAGAATTTTCCCATCCAATTGACACTTGACAACAATGCAAGTGTAAAAAAACATGTCAAAAATCAGTATACAGATAGCAAAGTTCAATCGGTAAGGACCTTGCTACATATAGACTATGGTGAACATTTTGGTATAGTCTTCACCACGTGACTATGACCTATTGGACAGTTTAAATTCCAAACAGTTTTTCCATCCAATTGACACTTGACAACAATGCAAGTGTCAAACAACGTATCAAAAATCAATCTACAATTAGCAAAGTTCAATCAGTAAGAACCCTGCTGCATGTACACTATGGTATACACATTGGTTTACAGTTTGCCACGCGACATTCCCTTGTTCAACCGTTTAATTTCAAACAGTTTTTCCATCCAATTGACACTTGACAACAATGCAAGTGCCAAACAACGTGTCAAAAATCAGCGTACAAATAGCAAAGTTCTAATGGTAAGGACCTTGCTACATGTACACTATGATGTACACTTTAGTTTAAACTTTTCCATGTGGCATTACCCTTTTGGCACTTGACAGCAATGCCAATGTCAAACACCGTGTCGAAAATCAGTGTACAAATAGCAAAGTTTAATCGACAAGGACCTTGCCACATGTAGCCTATGGTGTACAGTTTAGTATAGTCTTCGCCACGTGAAGATGACCTATTGGACAACTTAAATTTCAAATAGTTTTTCCATCCAATTGACACTTGACAAGAAAGCAAGCATCAAATAATGTGTCAAAAATCAGTGTACAAATAGCAAAGTTCAATCCGTAAGATCCTTGCTACATGTACACACTTTGCCATGTGACTATGACCTATTGGACAGTTTAAATTTCAAACAGTTTTCCCATCCAATTGACACTTGACAACAATGCAAGTGCCAAACAACGTGTTAAAAATCAGCGTACAAATAGCAAAGTTCTATTGGTAAGGACCTTGCTACATGTACACTATGATATACACTCTAGTTTAAACTTTACCACGTGGCATTACCCTTGTTCGACCGTTTAAATTCAAACAGTTTTCCCATCCAATTGACACTTGACAACAATGCAATTGTCAAACAACATGTCAAAAATCAGTGCACAAATAGTAAAGTTCAATCGATAAGGACCTTGCTACATGTACACTATGGTGTACTTTTTAGTTTACACTTTGCCTTGTGAGATTACATTGCTGGACAGTTTAAATTTCAAAAAGTTTTCCCATCCAATTAACACTTGACAACAATGTAAGAGTCAAACAACATGTCAAAAATCAGAGCACAAATAGCAAAGTTCAACCGGTAAGGACCTTGCTACCTGTAGACTATGGTGTACACTTTGCCATGCGACATTAACCGATTGGATAGTTTAAATTTCAAATACTTTTCCCATCCAATTGACACTTGACAACAATGCAAGTGTCAAACAACGTATCAAAAATCAATTTGCAAATAACGAAGTTCAATCAGTAAGAACCTTGCGACAGGTACACTATGGTGTACACTTTGCCATGTGACATTACTCTGTTGGACAGTTTAAATTTAAAACAGTTTTTCCATCCAATTGACACTTGACAACAATGCAAGTGTCAAACAACGTATCAAAAATCAATTTGCAAATAACGAAGTTCAATCAGTAAGAACCTTGCGACAGGTACACTATGGTGTACACTTTGCCATGTGACATTACTCTGTTGGACAGTTTAAATTTAAAACAGTTTTTCCATCCAATTGACACTTGACAACAATGCAAGTGTCAAACAACGTATCAAAAATCAATTTGCAAATAACGAAGTTCGATCAGTAAGAACCTTGTTGGACAGTTTAAATTTAAAACAGTTTTTCCATCCAATTGACACTTGACAACAATGTAAGTGTCAAACAAGGTGATAAAAATCAATGTACAAAATAGCGAAGTTCAATCGGTATGAACCTTGCTACATGTACACTTTTGTTTACACTTTACCACGTGACATTACCCTATTGGAAAGTTTAAGTTACAAATAGTTTTTCCATCCAATTGACACTTGACAACAATGCAAGTGTCAAACAATGTGACAAAAATTAGTGTATAGATAGCAAAGTTCAATCAGTATGAACCTTGCTACATGTACACTTTAGTTTACATTTTACCAAGTGACATTATCCTATTGGACAGTTTAAATTTCAAATCGTTTTCCCATCCAATTGGCACTTGACAACAACGATAATGTTAAACAACGTGTCAAAAATCAGTGTACAAATAAAAAGTTCAATCGGTAAGAACCTTGCTACATGTACACACTTTGCCATGTGACATTACCCTATTGGACAGTTTAAATTTCAAATAGTTTTCCCATCCAATTGACACTTGACAACAATGCAAGTGTTAAACAACATGTCAAAAATCAGTGTACAAATAGCAAACTTAAATGGGTAAGAAACATGCTACATGTACGCTATGGTGTATACTTTAGTTTACACTTTTCCACATGACATTACCCTGTTGGACAGTT